CCCCCCCCCCCCCCCCCCCCCCCCCGCGACATAACGTAGCGAAATGCGCGCTATAGAGGATATTAGCAGCCGCCTGCATGTATTAACGAAACACCTACTAAGAACACCGCGGAAAACGTCTGCGCATGCGTCAACCTTTATATGTGAACGTGGTGTCAAAAATGTCAAGTATTCCGAAGGTTGTCAAAAACTCAAAATGGAAGCGACAAGGAGCGACTTCGATGTTTTGCCTTTTCTGTGAAAATGAAAACGGAATAATGAATGTGACAACCTTAAAACTAGAAATAATTACAGTCCACATGTGCAAGAAGAAGTATTATGCCAGAAAATGATCCAAAGGTGACTGTCGTCGAAAAACATATTATTGTGTAAAACATTCTTTAATTAAACCATACAAAGATATTTTTCGTAGGTTCATATGATCCACATTTTTGTCATTAACTTTTTTTGCGTGGCATGTATAATTTTTGCGTTGACTATATTTATCGTGTACAAAATGCTTAAACTATTTCATAGTTTTCGTAACTTTTGTGTCTTAAGTTCGGCATTCAACAATTTTTCAAGAAACTTTCACACGCCTCCAGGTCTAAAACTAGAATTTTTAATTTAAATTCTGTTTCTTTTTAGATTTTAAGTGTTAGAAAACTTTTTATTAATGTCTAAGCTACCCGTCTAGTGTATTTTTTGTTTGTTTCATTTGCCTTAAATAATTAAATAGACTTGTTCTTGTTTACAATTTCGCATTTAAATTCCTCGTCATTTTTTCTAGTACACGCGTATGCGCAGACGTTTTTCCGCGTTTTTGTGCTCCTTTATATGAAGAAAAAAAAAATTGAGGTGTGTACATAAGCTTTAGTTATTTTATCTCACTTTGATTAGTTTGATATGCCACGTTTCTTTAGATTTGTTGGGGAATGAATGGTATTCGTTTTACCAGCTGTAAAAGTGCCAAAGATAGAACTTCAATGTCCGTCACTTTAGAACAATGTTCAATACTGAAACGTAAACATAATCTTCAGCCTGAAATATTTAATCAAGCCATAGATGTCATGCGAAGGTAAGTCATTTCTTACTATTGAGGTTGTGGCATAACTATACATAATACATTTTTTTTGGAAGGGCTTCTTTCATAAATCCCATCACACATCGTTAGCCCGATTTGAGGGTTTAAATTCATGTTAGAACGAGAAACAGTCAGTGGTAATAGCAACTGATGCAACTTTCGAATTTTCCCGCTAACCAATCACATTGCGTAAATTTGTTTTTCGCTTGGCTTCGCGCGAACAAATTTGCTTAGTAGAAAGCGGGCTTAATTTCCATCTGCATTACAAATCATCGTTGCAAATCGTGCTGTGTAACATCGCCCTTAGCTTCATTCAAAGCTTTAGGTTCAGCAATACCTGTAGTACATTTAATGTGATACTTTTGTGAGTGAAGCAATCTTATACCATGGGCAAGGCAACATATTAAATGCACCTGAGCTACATTTTCTTGAACATTTCAGTGGAGGAACACGACGTGACAACTGTTTTAAAAACGCTGGTATACGACGTTATGCCTTCAATTACTGGCAAGTTATGGCGTTACCTCGTCTATACCGACCTCCAGATGGAACATATGGCAAGAATATACAAGCCTGAAGCGAATAGTGTACAGTAATAATTATTAATATGTATTGTATTCACTATATTCGTACCTTAATTCTGAATGGTCAGCAGCTTCAGCTAAATATGGAAATCACGCAACCTAGATATAACACAGTTATCCACTAGCAGATCAGATCTGAGTTATGTGTAGATTGAGCCCACGAAATTTAATTTTGTAGCAAGCAGCAGTTTTCATACACAACATGAAGAAACGGCGTTAAGTGAATGTGATTTGTACAAAAAGCAGACCTTTTTGACATTTTATCGGAACTCTAGTAGGTACATAAGATTTCTAATAATTATTTTCATGTTCTAATTGAGATATTTTAAATCGTTTTACTGCTTTTTGTTTGAGAACCAAACGTTATTTTGTGCGAAAATCATTGTTTGTCGAAAACGTTAATGAAAACGCAATGTATACATATACAATACAACAGTTATTGAAGTCTCAACTCAGCTCGACTGATAACACTTTCCTCGAACTCTCGATATCACAGAAACCTCATCCAATAACTGTTTAATATAACAAAGGTAGGAATTGAATAACGGAGAGAAACGTGAATAATGAAATAATTAGAGCCTAGCTAATACCAAGCTGTAAAAAATACCAAAGCTGCAGAGTTGCAAAAAAGCTGCAGGTATGCGGGTACCACCCGTGAAAAAGGTTTACCATATGTGAGGTCAGTGAGGAAGGTTTAATATATACTGGGCCCACCTGAATAAACGTCTGTTGGCAGGCTAGGTTTAATATGAAACACTCTACTTAGCCTGAAAACAGACCTACGTTTCGCCCGCTCTAAAATTTGCGGATCGACGAAGGGCGAAACGTAGGTCTGATGAAAATGTTGTCAAAACGCTGTGGAATCCGACCGACTGGTGGTCGGGATAGCTGATTGGCTAATTTACAGAGAAATGGGTTGTGATTGGTTGGTCGCTAACATGAAAAGATTTGAAAAGATTTGAAAAGATCAGAATATATTTCAACGGTAAATCAATGCATATAATATGCTATATGCATAGAGTGTGATATTCTAAATATTTTGTGATGTCGAACGACAATTAGTCTATCAGTATCTACCGTCTAAAATTAAAACTGGAGGGGAGTAGAGCAGTACGTGTCAAATAATTCACCGATGTGTCTTTCCGTTGTAATATACAATACAATAATTTTTACAACGATTTAAGTTTGGTGATAATCATAATAAAACTGATGCGTTTATGATTTACATTTCGATAACATAGCACGTACAAAATATTTTATTTAGATTTTAGCATTGTATGACGGTTTCAAAATGTATAAATTGCAAGAGTTTGGATGCAATTCAACAGTCCCCTTGCCAGATAACTATGGCATTGGAGAACAGTGAGGGGAAAACAAGAATGTTGTACAGTTGGCAATATCAGCTTTCAGGGGCCCCGGCATTTCTGTAGCAATCATATACATATACATCTGCTAGCAGTCACCAGCCTGGACTGGTAGATTTACCATATCTTAAGTTCTCTATTAACAGTTATTGGGTGAGGTTGAGCAGGATATCCAGAATTCTTATGCCCCCCCCTCCGGTCACCACACAACTGGATCCTGCCTGCGGTAAGCCGAATCCAATAAAACTTTTATTTTTTTTCCCATGATTTTTTTTTGCTCTAACAAGTTCTTATCATTTATATCTCGCGCGCTGTCCAGTGACTCGACAGAGAATTGTCTCTGCTAAAAGATAGCCGGGCATCTACAATTACCTAAAATGATTCGTTGGCTTTTAGCTAATCAGATGACGAGAACAGAGTACAATGATTAGTTTGCCTAATTGAAAGTAATGAAATTCAATTGAATGTAATGAAATTTAATTAAATGTAATAAAGGGGAATTGGGAATGTAATAAAGGGAATGTAATGAGAGGTCATGTTTTCACCTCTGTTTGACAGTTAGTTTGTGTGTTTGTCCGTCAGCAGATACGCTATATATATGTACATACATTTATCCGCGCAATGGGGTTGTTAGTTGATTGCCTATAGGAGTTATTTGCAATCTCTTCAAATTAATTCAATGCTGTGATGTTACCGTGCATAAATCTTTGCAAATGATAATAATCATGAAAACTTTATTGAAAAATACTTTATTGAATAAAGAGCAGCAGTCTTTAACTGTGAAAAGAAAACATTCGAAAAAAAGAACCTTGAGGCTTGACAAATTAGACGGTGCTGAAGCTTATCGTCTTGCCCAGAAGGAAAATCTTTAAGGACTTTCTTTGCTGAATTATATATTTGTCATATTGAATGTTAATGTGATTGTTAGTTGATTTTCAGTTCTTTTATATAATTATTAGGAAATGTTTCTAAGACATTGGTCATTGCGTAGAACTGTTTGACAATGAACAAATTTGAGGGTGCAGGGAGAATATTTAGACCAAATTTCCAGTGGCTTAGTCAGATATAAATATTACTCTAGGAATGGGTATTTCAAGCCATTTTCTGATGTGCTGATTAATCAGGGAATGAATATAGATTTCGTTACCCAGGTTTTCGACAGGAGGTGCATCAGTAGACGCCAGGATATTTTGGATAGGACCTATAGCGGTTGTACAGAAGTTTGTTTTTCGGGTGTATAGGTTTCATTGTCGATATCAGACACTTGTTCATCAAGGGACCTATAAGTATAAGTGAGCTATAGTGTGTTTTTGTTGCAAATAAGCGTGTGAAATATATGTTTATAATATTTATCATTTATAGACCCGGAGCGAGGGGGATTCGGCGGAATATTATGTCACGTGGTACAAATGATGTTTTTTCATTGGACAATTTGAATTTGAGGTATAACATAAACATATATTTCACACGCTTATTTGTAACAAAAAAAAACACTATAACTCATTTATAGGTACACTTTTTTTTATTCCCGTCGGTCGGAAACTATATGAAATTATACAAAAAATAAAAAATTACTCCCATGCCATGCCCGCCTTGCATGAATGGATAAGAAGCAAAAGGCTTGATTAAAGCGCTAGTCAAGCCCATTTTGCGGGCGTTCTTTGTTTACATAATTTGATTTGAAACGTATTGAAATAATCTAAAATCTACGCAAACATCTATTTCTATTTTAATAGCTAGAAATAGATGCATGCAGCCTCGCCTATATTTTCCAAACTTTGATTTAACATGAAGTATTAGTAAACGAGCGAGGTTGGTAAGCGAGCAGCTTTCTGCTATATATCTTACCGTGGTCCAATTATTTAATTAGCGACAACCGAGGAGTTAAATTAAGATAGTTTTCAAACTCAAAACATTATTCAAAAAGTTGAAAAATCTACTTTATCGATACTATAGAGATAGTAAAATACAGTGAACTGAGTTGAATGGGCTTAGTGCCAAGCCCGATATGTACTTTTCGCCGACTAAAATGAAAAAAACAACAAATATAGACATCGAAAAAACACTGGCCAGTAGCAGTGCTACATGTTTCGATTCGAAATCTCCTCATATATTCAACTATTCTTCGAAAAATATGCGTTTAAATATAAATACTACGACATATACAACTTGTCCTTACTTGAATATAAAAAACAATTAAAATATTGTAAATGCAGTTTGGGCATGATTGGGCTTAATTTGGTCAGATATTTTTCATAAATGTTGTAATGTAATGAACAAAATGTTTTCAGCAACTGAAATTTGTAAAAAAAAAGCAGCATTTTCAAGCATGTTCATATACTGCATGTAAAACGATAATGAAAATAAATCATTCTCGTTTACCTAGCTGAGTGACTTCTGTATTGTCTAATTGTCGTGAGTAGAAAAGCATTTATTGCGTTGAACTATATACTAAAAGCTTTTTATCCAGTTTTTTTATCGCGTCGTTTTAGCAGTTTGTCAGCCATACTTGGGCTAAAGTAAAGTATAAATAATAACAGACGCAACTGATTTCAAATGTACTTTACCTGAAATTTTATTGGAATTTCATTATAATCGTTAAAATTAACCATCAAACAAAAAAATAATCACATTATCGATCCGTACAAAAAATATTAGTTTCCCTAGCTCGGTCTCAGACCTCGGGAAAATTTTTTTTCAGTACCGACCTCCAAGCCGGTAAATAACATGTATTTGTTGCATGAAATAGCAATTAAGTTGAAGATCAAAAATTGAAGAAGAAATGCGGTGAGTGATGAGAAATTGTGCCGTTTTATTGCCATTTAAATGACAATTATGACAAACGATAGTATATAATAACGCCTTTAATGTCAAAAATAGGTATGCGTGCAGAAATCCTTTTAAATACCTGTCGATCGATTTGCGAATGATGCATTAACTATGATGCCTGCATGCAGTAATTGCATTGCACGGACGAGATCTCGTCGGGTTTTGCCTTTCATTGCAACCTGGGTTTTCTCCAAATGATGACTAAAACACGGCACCACACGAGTTACATACGAGTACATCATATACGACTTACATACGCGTACATATGCATGGGTACATGCAAGAGTAACACACGGTACATACGACTAACATACGAGTGCATACGACATGCATACGACATACATACGAGTACATACGACTTACACGCGGATAGTAGCCACGTTTTCAGTGTTTGTATATGTATAGGATAAAAACCGAATGGGAGGTCTTCCGTTAAAATTCAAAGGATGTTATTCCCACGCAAGTTCTGCTGATTTAGATAACGATAACGAACGTGTACACGCAATAGGGCTCATTTTCGAACTTTGCAGTTTACTTAAGGTGGCTCAATACATTAATCTACACAAAATCCCCTGACCATTCCTGTGTACGGGAATATTAACGAAAGGACTTATACATAATATGACCTGACGTGCATGACGACTTGCTCACGCCATTACGCGCCATTGTACGTGTTTTATAACGCATTGCTTGTCAATTGCCAACGTGATTAGGAATGCCAATTCTTAAAAATCAGTGCGCTGTATTTCATTATTTTGTCTCGTGACCTATGTTGTGAAATTTTGCATACTCAATAGTACCGTAAAAATATTTCGATAGACAAAAGATAAAACTGAATTTTGTAATGCAAGAAATTTTTTCTTCGAACATAGCATTACAGATTTTTTTATTAGTCTATATGTTCTATCTAAAATAGTGCTCAAAGTGGAGATAACCGTGCTTCTTTTGTAACAAGACAAAAGCAATAGGGTATTACAAGACAAAACAATATAGGGTATTTTAAAGAGCGGAATCTCGTACGCGTGTGTTGCCATAACAATGAACTGTGCGTTACCAAAACTGACATCATTTGAAAGAAGAAACATATTAAAATAGATGAACATCCTGATTTCTGCTGCATAAAGCCTAAAAATACGACGTTTAATTTAAAACTAACAAACTATTATACACCTGAAGTTTTGAATTGAGCTACCTTAAGCCCAGCCTCCTTTTTACGTTTGTGCTCTTCCCATTCCTTTATTTTTACTGAGAATGTCAGAGGAAATATCCAGCAATCATATGGAGTACCGTACTTCATGAATGATGAACATTGCGCAGTTAAATTGCGTGTAGGCGTTACGGTGAAGGTCAACACTCATGAAAACCAAGAAACTTATAGTTTACAGCTGCTATATCAATATCTCATTGCTTAATTTATATGGACAAAAACAATAATAATTCCAATAAAAAGTGCGTTTTATGAAAAGCTCGTGCCTGTAGGCTTTAGCCTACTGGGTAATCCACCATTGCATGTCGATTTGATTTCATCCAAATCATGGATCAACATGTTGAGAATGCAAATGGCATGATTTTCACATTTTTATGAGTGAGCTGAATCTAACTATATCGAAGCACGAATGATGCAGGAGGTTCGTGCAATATATAAAAATGGTTGTATTAAGATTTTTGAAGGTATAAGTAATGAGATTTCCGTTTTACGCACACTGGAGTCCGCGTTCTTCAAATGATCACGAACTCTGTCCGTCTTTTGCTCTGTCCAGTATCTTATGTATTGACGAGTAAAAATAGAATCATAAAAAATGTTAGTCATCCGCTTCCTGTCGTTCCTGCCTTCCTTTTATCTACATCCTTTTCGACAATTACTGAAATTTGGATAAAGATAATCAAGTGATCTCACCGAACTATGGCCAACAACGTCCACACCTACATAGTTTTTCATGTTTCCAATTCTAATTTTAAACAGCGTATCCTGTTCTTAATATCAATGCAATTACTATATTCGAAAATATTTGAAAAATAGTTGTCATCTTTAATTTCTTCTTTCGAAATTAATTTCAACCAAGGTAGTCACTGCCGCCTTATATAGAATACTTCAACAATACTTCAATATACTATCAGGTTTACAAAGTATAAATATAATTTCATTTGTTCTCTCTGAGAAATTTTAATTTCTCATTTTAACTTAACATTTAAAAAATGTTAAAAATATCAAAAACTGTAGCTACCACAATTTTGCACTATTTTATATATTATGCATCAGCATTACCAGGCAAAACATTTTAAACAATAGAGACTGTTGTTTAAGCAATGGTGTATGAGAATTTAAGATTAAAAGCAATTCATCCATGCAAGCGAAATTATAGCTTTTCGAAATGAGGCTAGTCTGGCTTGTTTGCTAAATCTGGCATAAACTCCGGTATTTTTAAAAATTTAATATATTCTTTGCAGAGAATACATGATATCTTTTTAATAATATGTAAAACTGTTGGTCTTGAAGTATTCTGTAAGGCGGTGATTACTGCATGGTTGAAATTTGTTTCGAAAGAAGAAAGAATGACACTTATTTTTTCAATCAGTCGTTTTAGTATAGTAATTAAGAACCGGATACGCTGATTAAAATTAGAATTGGGAACACGAAAAACTCAAATCGATCTATATAGTAAGTCACTTGGCCGTTGAACATGAATAGAATTGCAAACATACAAATTAAAACCTATGGTCTTTATTCAGTGTACTAAACTAGTATGTAGGTGTGGTAGACGTTTGTGGGGGTGGTATAGCGATACGAATTTTTGATGCCATGCAAAACATTCGTGAGACCATGCAGTGGAGATAAGTATGTACGATATGCATGGTCATCCGGTTTCACTAAAAATGTATGTTTTGTAATATAGGGGAACTTAATAATATATATATATATATATATATATATATATA